TCACAATCTTTTTATTAAATAAGAGCTTAAGTAAAATATTGTGCTGTTATCCCTATGGTAACTTGATCAAAGGTCAAATTAATTGGGTCAATTTATTTAAAATAAATAAAATTAAAATAATAATTAATTAGCTGCCCCAGCTAAACTAAAGTAAAGTTCAATAGGGTCTTATCGTCTTTCTTAATAATAAATATCTTTTTATATTTAAGATAAATTTAATTAAATAAATTAAAGAAAGAAATTAAGGTGTTAAATCTTTCATACAAGCCTAAAATTAAAAGGCAAATGATTATGCTACCTTAGCACAGGAAAACTGCGGCTATTAAAAATTCATTGAGCAGATCTTACTTATAATTATATTCTATAAGAAATGTTTTTGATAAACATTCACTTAATTTTTGTTGAGTTTTTTAAATTTATGTAATATTTAAATAGAAGGTATTAATTTATAAAAATTAGATAAGTTAATTTACTAATTTTTTTATTATAAAGATCTTAGAAAATAGTATGATTTAAATATTTAGTAGGAGGAATATAATAGTTATAAAACTTTAAGGAAACTGTTAATCCTAAAACAATAATAGAAAGTAATTATGAAATATTCAATAAAAGTTATCTTAAATTGAATATTTTAAAATTTTAATAAATTCATAAAACCAGATATAAAATTATTCGTAGGCGTTTAACTTCTAAAAGTTTCTTAAATTTAATTATGAAATATTAAGAATTAGGAAATATTAGATCATAATTTTTCGGGAAATTTAAAGATAAATAGGAGTATTTAAAAAATCCTGATACAAAAGGAACAAAAAATTTCTTTATAAAAATTAAAAAGGTTTTCCTTTTCAGTAATAGATTAAAAATATTTTTAAAAAAATAATTAAATAAAATATTTTTATAAAAAAAATAATTATAGAAGTTTATTATCTTCTTTTTAGTGTAAGTAAAATGCTATAAAGCTTTATAGTTCTCTTGATGCTCTTTCTAGAACATCAACTTTGTTACGACTTACCTTTTCTTAGGAAAAGGGTGACGGGCGATATGTGCACATGTTTTCTATTTCATTTAGAAATATTATTATTAAATTACTATTAAATCCTTTTTCTTATTTTAATTTATAAAGTATTCCTTAAATTTTATTTAAGGTAACCCATTTAATCTTAAATTTGGATTACACCTTGACCTGAATTTCTAGAATAATATTATGAATATATTATTTAAATTAATTCTATGTACGGCGGTATATAATTTTTTTTAAAAAATAAGTGAAAATTATCGTGGATTATCGATTAATAAACAGGTTCCTCTAAGAAGATAAAATGCCGCCGGGATACAAAAGTTTTTTTTAAAAAGGTTATACTACTTAAAATTTAAAAAATACTAGGGTGTCTAATCCTATTTTTAAAAATTTAATTTAACTAGTTTAATAATAGAAGAGTTGAATAAATAAAAATTTCACTTAAGTATTTAAAAAATAAAATATAAAAAAGAATAGTAAATAAAAATAAAGTTGTATCAATAGTTTAACCGCAACTGCTGGCACTAAAAATATTGTTGATAAATTAATTTATCACCATTATCTTTTTATAGTATAATTGGGTAGTAAAGTTTAAAAAGAAAGTTATTTAAATCTTTATGTAAAAAAGGTTTATTTTAAAAACTGTATTAAATAATTAGTCTATTAGATTAGAAAATCTCTATAAAAATCAAATTTTTATGTGCAATTACACTTTAATAGAGGAAAAATAAACAAAAAAGAGGTCTAAATCTCCTGTTAAGCTAGGTCTAAAAAGAGGTTAAAAAAACAAAAATTTTTTTAATGCTATTATAGGGGTATATAGAACTGATTTTTAGGTTATTTATTACGTATTTTTTATAAAAATTTAAACATGTATTTAACATATATTCGAATGGAATTTCTTAATATTTTACTACAACTTAATATTCGAAAGAGCCATCTGTAGTAAATCTTGGAATCACTATTTTCTCGAGGCCCTTCCAGGCGGTAAAGGAAAGGGCCTCGAAAAAGAAAAAATTAAAATTTAAAATTATGGTGAGCTGTTGATTTTGGAGTATTTTGGTCATTTACAGATATATTTTAATTTATATTCTTTATTAATATTGTTTAGTTTATTTATTCTTAGGTTTTTAATAATAATGCTCATATATTTATATATATTATAGTATATTTATTTACTTTTATTCTCATGTTTTTTTTTCTATATTTATATGTATGAGCATGAGGAGGTATATTAATAATATATATTTATGAATAATTCTTTTTAAACTGTTATATATATATCAGCTAAAAAAGCTAATGGGTTCATACCTCATAAATGAAAAATTATTATAATTCCTTCTTTATATTTATTTATAATTATATATGTGTTAAGATTTATCATTGTATTGAGATGTCAAGATTGATTTTTAATTTGATTTGGGTTAGAATTAAATATAATTAGATTTATTGTTTTAATATATAAACGTTATAGTATAATTTCGATTGAGTCATGTTTAAAGTATTTTTTTGTTCAAAGTTTAGGTTCTGCAATTTTTATTTTTTTGTTTTATTTTCGGGGAGAAATTATAATTGTTTTAGGATCTATAATTTTAACATATAAATTGGGGGGAGGTCCCTTTTTTTTTTGATTTCCTTCAGTTTGTGACGGAGTAGATTGAATGGTATGTTTTATGTTAATGAGATTACAAAAAATTATTCCTTTAATAATTATAGTTATGGTATTGAATAGAATTTTATGAGTTATGATTGTAATTAGATTAATTGTTGGGGTAGTAGGATCTTTTTCTCAGAGAAGAATTAAACGGTTATTTGCTTATTCATCTATTCACCATATTGGATGATTAATTATATGTCAGATTGAGAAAATAGGATTATGAATATATTATTTGGTTATTTATTCGATAATTTTATTGAGAGTAGTTATTATATTATTGGAGGAAGAAATTGTAAGAATAATGGACGTAGATAAAATTAAAAATAAATGATTATTTGTATTTGGAATATTAAATCTAGGAGGAATACCTCCTTTATTAGGTTTTTTTTTGAAATGATGAGCTTTGATGAGATTTATTGAGTGTGATTTAGTGATAGTAATATATATAATTATATTATCAGTAGTATATTTTTATGTATATTTTCGTATAGTTTATGATGTGGTGATAGGATTTAAGATAGAGAGAAAATGAATAGAGTCTTTTTTTTTATAAAAATAATAAAATTGATATTTTATCAAATATAGGAGTATTATTGGGTTTAATGGGTGGAGGAGTAATTTTAGGAATTTTATAGAATAGTAAGATAAATATTCTATTAGCTTTCAAGGTTAAGAGTGGAAGCAAATATGAATTTACAGTTCATCATCAATATGATTTCTAAAGTTAGAATATTAAATTTGCAATTTAATGTTTTAAATTAAACTAAGTTACTGCGATGAATTTATTCAACTAATCATAAGGATATTGGAACATTATATTTAATTTTTGGAGTATGATCTGCAATGTTAGGGACTTCGATAAGAATAATTATTCGTACTGAATTAGGACGAACTGGAAGATTATTAGGAGATGATCATTTATATAATGTAATTGTTACTGCTCACGCTTTTGTAATAATTTTTTTTATAGTTATACCTATTATAATTGGTGGATTTGGGAACTGATTAGTACCTTTAATATTGGGGGCTCCTGATATAGCTTTTCCTCGAATAAATAATTTAAGTTTTTGATTATTACCACCTTCATTGTTTTTATTAATTATATCTTCTATAGTAGAGATAGGAGTAGGAACAGGTTGAACTGTTTATCCTCCTTTGTCTTCATTAATAGGACATGCAGGTAGATCAGTGGATTTTGCTATTTTTTCTTTACATTTAGCTGGGGCTTCTTCTATTATAGGAGCAATTAATTTTATTTCTACAATTATTAATATGCGTTCATATGGAATAATTATAGAAAAAGTTCCTTTGTTTGTATGGTCAGTATTAATTACTGCAGTATTATTATTATTATCATTACCTGTTCTAGCAGGAGCAATTACAATGTTATTAACTGATCGAAATTTTAATACTTCTTTTTTTGATCCTTGTGGAGGAGGTGATCCTATTTTATTTCAACATTTATTTTGATTTTTTGGTCATCCTGAGGTGTATATTTTAATTTTACCTGGATTTGGAATTATTTCTCATGTAATTAGCGCTTCTGTAGGAAAGCGGGAGCCTTTTGGAAGATTAGGAATAATTTATGCTATAGTAGGAATTGGAGGTATAGGATTTGTTGTTTGAGCTCATCACATATTTTCTGTAGGAATAGATGTTGATACACGAGCTTATTTTACTGCTGCTACTATAGTTATTGCGGTTCCTACTGGAATAAAGGTATTTAGATGAATAGCTACTTTAAGTGGATCAGATTTTAAAATAGATACTCCTATATTGTGGAGTATAGGGTTTGTTTATTTATTTACTTTAGGAGGAATTACGGGGGTAGTTTTATCTAATTCTTCTTTAGATATTATTCTACATGATACATATTATGTTGTTGCTCATTTTCATTATGTTTTAAGAATAGGAGCAGTGTTTGCAATTTTGGCTGGAATTACTTATTGATTTCCTTTATTTTTTGGTGTAAAATTAAGAGAAAGGAAGACGATTTTACAGTTTTATTTAATATTTATTGGAGTAAACTTAACTTTTTTTCCTCAACATTTTTTAGGATTAAATGGAATACCACGACGTTATTCTGATTATCCAGATGCTTATTTATATTGAAATGTAGTTTCTTCTTTAGGGTCAATTTTATCAGTATTTGCTGTATTATATTTTGTAGTAATTGTGTGGGAAGGAATAGTAATAAAGCAATCTGATTTTATGATTTATCATGTAAGTTCTTCGTTAGAATGAATAAATAGAACACCTCCTTTAGATCATACTTTTAATCAATTAAGATTAATAAGTGATTAATTTTTGCCAATTTGAGGAAATTTATATTTTCAAAATGCTTCTTCACCTGTAATGGAACAATTAATTTTTTTTCATGATCATTCTATAATAATTATAGTAATAATTATGGTATTAGTAGGATATATTTTATTGAGATCATATGTAAATAAAAATTATAATTTAGGAATATTTGAAGGACAAGAGTTAGAAATAATTTGAACAGTTCTTCCGGCTATTATTTTGCTTATAATTGCTTTCCCTTCATTACGATTATTATATTTAATAGAGGAAGTTGAATCACCGGAATTAACTGTAAAGGTGGTGGGTCATCAATGATATTGATCTTATGAATATAGAGATTTGGGTTTAAGAAGTTTTGATTCATATATAGTTTCAAGAGAAGATGAACCAATATTTCGATTATTAAATGTTGATAATTGTTTGGTTATTCCTTATAATACTAATGTACGTATAGTTGTATCAAGAATAGATGTTAATTCATTCTTGAACAATTCCGTCTTTAGGAATGAAAACGGATGCAATTCCGGGTCGATTAAATCAATTATCATTTTTATTTAATCGTATGGGGTTGTTTGTAGGTCAATGTTCGGAAATTTGTGGAGTAAATCATAGATTTATACCTATTATGATTTCTGTTGTTCCTCGGTTAGAATTTTTAATAGGATGAATATAATATGGTGACCGAATAAAGGTGTTAGTCTCTTAAATTAATTATGAATAAAATAGTTAAAATAATATTAGTTTGTCAAACTAAAGTTAAAGAGGGATTCCTCAGTTAATACCATTGAGTTGAGATTATTCTATTTTAATAGTTTTAATAATTTTGATATTAAAAGTGATGTTATATTCAAATACATCATTACATTTAAATGTAAAGAAAGGTTTTAGAAAAAAGAAATTAGGTTGATGATGATAAGTTTATTTTCTGTATTTGATCCTACTTCATATTTAGGAATATATTTAAATTTTATTATTTTGTTTTTAGTAATAATATATTATCCAATAAAGTATTATATAATTGAAAGAGGATATTATAGAGTTTGGACTATAATTTCTGGAGAATTAAATAAAATTTTTAATGAAGTTTCAAGTCCTAATTATCGAGGAATAGTATTTATTTGTGTTGTTACATTTTTGTATTTAGTTATTAGAAATATAATTGGTTTATTTCCTTTTGTTTTTACTTCTACAGCTCACCCTATAATTACAATAGGTTTAGGATTAGTATTTTGAGTTACTTTTTTTCTAATAGGATGAAGAAAAAGATTCTATATTAGTGCAGCTCATTTAGTTCCTGAAGGAAGACCATTATTATTAGCTCCTTTAATAGTTTTAATTGAAAGAGTAAGACATTTAATTCGCCCATTTACTTTATCAATTCGTTTAGCAGCAAATATAATAGCAGGACATTTAATTGTAGGCTTGTTATCAATAATTAGAAAATTAAGAATTTTTGGGTTTTCTTCATCATTGTTTTTACAATCTATATTATTAGTATTGGAATTTGGTGTCTCAGTAATTCAAGGATTTGTATTTAGAATTTTAATATTATTTATATGCTTTAGAATATTATTAACGTTTGATGAAGTATTATCATATATATCATATAGTGACTATTTCTCCTTGACCTTTATTGGTTGGGGTAGGTAGATTATGTGTAGTTATAGGTATAGTGAAGATATTTATATTTTGTGAACATGAATTATTATTTTTGAGATTATTTATAATAGTAATTGTAGCGAGAGTGTGGTGACGGGATGTAGTTCGTGAAAGTACATATCAAGGATTTCATTCAAGAATAGTTTTAAGTGGTTTAATATTAGGAATATTATTATTTATTGTAAGAGAAATTTTTTTTTTTTTAAGATTTTTTTGAGCATTTTTTCATTCAAGATTAAGACCAACTGTGGAGTTAGGGGCTTCTTGACCTCCTCAAGGGATTAATCCTTTTAATCCTTTTCAAGTTCCTTTATTAAATACAATTGTATTATTATCTTCTGGGATTAGAGTAACTTGAGCTCATCAGTCTATTTTAAGAAATAAATGGGGAAATGTAAGAAAATCAATATTTTATAACGTGAATAATAGGATTATATTTTTTATTATTACAAACTTTTGATATTATATAGCAGGATTTAGAATTAGAGATTCAGTTTATGGCTCAACATTTTATATAGCTACTGGATTTCATGGATTTCATGTAATTGTTGGAACTTTATTTTTATTTGTAATTTGAGTACGAGTTGAAAAAAATCATTTTTCTAGAAGACATCATTTTGGTTTTGAAGCTGCAGCTTGATATTGACATTTTGTAGATGTTGTATGATTATTTTTATTTTCAGTAGTTTATTGATGAGGAGCATAGATTAAATAAAATTAATGTAGTATAAAAGTACGTTTGATTTCCAATTAAAAAGAGAAATTAATATTTATTTACATGATAGTAGTAATAATTATTTTGATTTTATTAATAATAGTATATTTTGTTTTTTTATTAATATCTTATAAAATAAAGATAGATATAGAAACTTTATCTTCATACGAATGTGGATTTGATATAAAATCAGAGTCTCGATTTATTTTTTCTTATCGATTTTTTTTAATTGGAATTTTATTTTTAATTTTTGATGTAGAAATTTCATTAATATTACCGGTACCATTTATTAGAAAAGATATTATAGGAGTAGTAGTATTTTTTATATTTGTTGTAATTTTGTTATTAGGATTATTATATGAATATTATTATGGTTCATTAGAATGAATAGATATTCTTGTTTCTAAGGCTTAAACTTAGTGCATTGATCTGCCAAATAGATATTAATTTAAAAGCTTTAAGCGATTTCATTGTTAATGAAATAGAAGGAACACAATCAGGAGTAGGTTCCCCCCCTTTTTTCCGGTTACAGGGGGAACCGGGAAAACGGATGATTGTGTGAAGGGATACGGGTTGTAAAGGGTTGTGGAAAATAAAAAGTAAAATAAGGTTAGAAATTGATTTGCAATCAATTGTTATGAAATATTCATATCTTGAATAGTTAATTTAAGGGGCTGCTAACTTCTTATGAGCTTTAGTTGCTACTATTGAGATATAAATGGGAGCTTAGTAAGAGCGGCTTAATTTCGACTTAAGTAGTGGATAAAATGGTGAATAATCACGTCATTATTTCATGATGAAGATGTAGTCCTTTTTATCTTCAGTAAAATGCTCTATTTAAGCTATATAAGTAGATTAATAAAATAATTGGATTGATTAGTATAATAATGAAGATAAATATGAATGATAGTGAAAGGAGAATAGGAATTGATGATGAGATATAAGATTGAAAAAATAATTCTTGGGGTCCGTAAGATTCTTGCCAGGATTTGTCATTATTTATAAATATATTTATTATTGGTAAAAGGGGTTTGTTTAGCTTAGTAGAAATAGTATGTGTAAATCATAATGAAATAGAGGGAGTACCTATTTTTAATATATTTTTTGTTGTAAAATGATAGTGAAGTTCCAATTATAATTCCAATAAATAAATTTGTAATTGTGGAGATTTTTAGAGAAAAAGGTATTAAAAAAATTTGGTTAGGACAAATTAGTCAATATAATGATGTTCCTGTAAAAATTGAGGTTAGAATTATAATTAAAATGGGGATATCTATATAATTATTAGAATGTAGTGATAAATCAGGTTTAGATTTTAGATTAATTTTTAAAGAAAATAAACATATTCGGATAGAATAACTAGCTGTTAATCCGATTGATATAATTATTAAAATTGATAGGAAAGAGGAAAATTTTGAAGATAATATATTTTCAATAATAGCGTCTTTTGAGAAGAATCCAGAGGTAAAAGGAATACCTATTAAAGTGAGATTAGAAATTCCTAGGATGGAGGATATTAAAGGGATATTAAATATAATTCTTCCTATGTGACGTATATCTTGATAATGAAGATGAGTGAATAATAATTCCTGCACAGAGAAATATTGTAGATTTAAATAAAGCATGAGAAATTAAATGGAAATATGCATATTAATAGAAAACATAGAGATAGCGAAAAGTATTATAGCGATTTGGCTAAGGGTGGATAAAGCAATAATTTTTTTTATATCTTGTTCTCAGTTAGCTGAAAAGCCAGCGATTATAATAGTAATAGTGGAAATAGATATAATGATTAATATGGATAAAGGATGAAAATTATTTATAATTCGGATGAGAAGGTAAATTCCAGCAGTAACTAATGTTGAAGAATGTACTAAGGCTGAAATAGGTGTAGGTGCTGCTATCGCTTCAGGAAGTCATGCTGAGAAAGGAAATTGAGCTCTTTTTGAGCAAGCTGCGATAATTAAAAGTGTTAAGATTAATAATGAAAATTCATTATTAATTGAAAAGTTTCAATCTAAGAATGATAATATTAATCCTAATGATATAAT